AAACAAACCCAAATTTCCTTACTGTTTTTGTTAAGTAATAAATTATACCCTGATACACAATACCTCACAAATAAATGGGGGTAGTGCAGTGTGTCTTTATGTCCACTGGGTGGCAGCACAGGACTTTATTAAGCAGTGGTGTTTAACCATGCCCATCAAAGGTTTTCTCTCTTCTGCTGACCGTGAGGACATACTGAGGAGGAAATTTGAAAACGGAATCCAGTGTGTTGAAGCAGGGACCCAAGTAAATTGGGGGTAGGCAATCCAGATCAATGAGTACCACTTCCCTGCATGTTTTACTTGTTTCCCTGCTCCATTACATGTGATTCAGAGATTGAAGGACCTCTTCCAAGTTCTGCAGAAGCTTGTTAATCACCATTCATTCAAATTAGGCACGTTAGAGGAATAAATAAAACATGCAGGTTAGGGGCACTTAAGGACCAGGATTTCCCACTCCTAAACTAAAATATGGAGATTATTATATGTATATATTTTACATTGAATGACACTGTCCTCTCCCTGGGCCTTGTCGGGGTGGAGAGGTTTGAGTGTCCTAATAATCCTAGGAGCTATGTTGTCAGAGACTTCATGTCCCCGGTCCGGTAGGGTCACCCAAGGCAAACACATCCGAGGTGAGGGATCAGACAAAGTGCAGCCATAAACTCCTCATGATGAGCAATAATGACGGATCTAGTGTTACCTTGCCTGGACGCGAGGCCCCACTCTGAAGCCAGGCCTGGATGTGGGGCACGTTGGGGAGCCTGATGGCCGGGCTTTCACCCATAGAGCCCGGCCAGGCACAGCCCAAATAGGAGATGTAGGTTCCCCTTCCCATGGGCTCACCACCTGTGGGAGGGGCCAGAGGGGTCGGGTGCCGTGTGTAATGGCCAGTGGTCAAAGACAAGGACCTTGGCGGTCTGATCCTCGGCTGCAGAAGCTGGCTGTAGGGATATGGAATGTCACCTCTCTGGTGGGGAAGGAACCTGAGCTGGTGTGTGAGGTTGAGAGGTTTCTTTACTAGATATAGTTGGACTCACCTCAATGCACCGCTCTGGCTCTGAAACCAGTCTCCTCGAGCGGGGTTGGACCCTCTTTCACTCTGGAGTTGCCCTTGTTGAGAGGCACCGAGTAGGAGTGGGCATACTTATTACCCCCATCTTGGTGCCCGTATGTTGGGGTTCACCCAGTGAATGTGAGGGTAGCCTCCCTCCACCCTCATGTGGGGGGATGGGTTCTGACTGTTGTGTGTGCCTATGCGCCTAACAGCAGTCCAGTTTACCCACCCTTTTTGGAGTCCTTGGAGTGGGTGCTGGAGAGTGCTTCTGATGAGGACTCCCTTGTTCTGCTGGGGGACTTCAACGCTCATGTGGGTAATGGCAGTGAGACCTGGAGGGGTGTGGTTGGGAATGCCCCGCTCCAATCTGAACCCAAGTGGTGTTTTGTTATTGGACTTCTGTGCACATCATGGATTGTCCATAACAAACTTCATGTTAAAGCCATTTGTCCATATGTGCTCTTGGCACCAGGACACCTTAGGCCGCAGTTTAACAATTGACTTTGTTGTCATCTTATCTGATCTACAGCCGCATGTCTTGGACACTCAGATGAAGAGAGGGGCAGAGCTGTCAACTGGCCACTATCTGGTGGTGAGCTGGCTCTAATGGTGGTGGAGGATGCCCTTCAGACCTGGCAGACCCAACTATATAGTGAAGGTCTGCTAGGAACATCTGGCAGAGTCTCCTGTCATACTGAACTTACACTCACACCTCCAGGAGAACTTTGAACATGCTCCAGGGGATGTGGAGGACATTGAGTCCAAGTGGGCCATGTTGCTCCATTGTCAAGGTGGCTTACTGGCACTGTGGCCACAAGGTTGTCAGTGTCATGACGGCAACCTTAGAACCCGCTGGTGGACACTGGCAGTGAGGGATGCTGTCAGGGTGAAGAAGAAGGCCTATCAGGTATTTTGGCTTGTGGGGCTCTGGAAACAGCTGATGGGTATCGGCAGTCCAAGCAGATTACGGCTCGGGTGGTTTCTGAGGCAAATCTTCAGGCGTGGAAGGAGTTTGGAAAGGCCAATGAAAGAGACTTCCGCATGGCTTCAAGATGATTCTGGTCCACCACCCTGTGTCTTGGGGGGCGGGGGTGGGAG